CGCCTGGCTGGCCCTGCGTCTGCCGGCAGCCTCTGGTACAGAGGAGCCGGCGCTGATGAGGTTGCTGGGGTCGCGGAGTGAATCTCTCCTGATGGGGTATTATTAGCATTTCAATTTATTTACACGTTTTGCTGGAGCACAAAACACCCATTGAGAAGTTACATCTCATTATCAGAGCCATCCAGCGAGCAGCAGGAGCAGAGTTATCACCGCCGTTTAGAGCGCTGAGGAGAAAATAACCCACTCGGGGAGAGCTGAGCCCAGCAGCCGGCTGGTTCCGGGGCTGGGGGCAGCATCCGGCAGGGCGGGGCGGAGTGCCAGCACCGGAGCCTTCTCCCTCCCTAGGGCTGGCACCGCCCGATAGCACCAGTGCACCCTGCTGCCCGCTCTGCCAGTGTGTCCCCTGCCCAGGGGAGATGGGGCCGTGCACTTGGCACCACTCTGTTGGCACTGGTCTCCGCACAGCCACTCCCTGGTTGCTCCTGGACTGGCTGGCTCCGAGACCCCACAGGACACGGCCTTGTTTTCTGCCCATCTGCCCCGGGTTTGGTCAGGCTCCGTGCAGGGCTGTGGCCACACGGCTCTCGGTGACCCTGGGGTCACTGCTGGATGCCCGGCCTGGGACAGGCAAATTCCCAGAAGCTTTTGCAGGTGGCTGAGTCCTGTGGGGCCACTCGAGGCCTGGTGACAAAGGGGAATCTGCGTTGACTGGCTGTGTCCATGAGTACGCCAGGCCAGGGGGCTGGGGGAATCGCTTCCCCAGAGATCCCACCCCCTGGAGTGGGGAGCCATTGCAGGCAGCAGTTAATGAGCCGGTGTAGGGCTTGGGCTGGAGTGCTAATCCCCTATTAAAACCTAAAAGGGATTCTGGCGCCCTTCAGTATAAACTCATTAACTTTTATGGTATAATAAATGGATCCTATTAAAAAATAATTCCAGTCGTGCTGGGTGCAAGTTAACCTCTTAGAACTTCTGCAACAAGGCATATTTCTCCCTGCTCAGCGAGGGAGGCGGGGGGCAGGGCCTCTCCTGGCCACTACCGTGCAGCGAGGCTCCTCCGGCGCTTTGGGGACGCCCCTGAAAGGCCGCCCGCCGGCCCCAGGGGCGCATCCCGGCCCCTGGTCTTGGAGGCTGCAGAGCAGGGGCTCCCTCCAACTGCCACCCAACCCTGCTCTACATGCGCTGGTGCTGGGGGCCAGCACACCAGCTGTTGGCCTCCGGACACCTGGGTTCATAGGGGGCCTTGCCATGGTAAGGAGAATGCCTGGTGCCATGAAGTGGGTTAATTATAAAGTAGGAAGGGACGTAAATCCGGCTGTACCAGGGCAGGAAACAGCCATTCGCCGGCTGCTCCTTATGTCTCCTCTGACAGAACTGGCGGTGTCAGGGCCAGGGCTAGGCGGGTCTGGCGAGTCCTGTGACCCCAGAAGTGCCTGGAGTAACAAGTGAAAATGGGGGTGGGGGGGAACTCGACTTGTCATGGCCTGGAGAGACGTTCTCCACAGCCAGCATCTCCTCCACGCCCTGGGTGCTGTGGGTCGAGGGGCATTCGCTGGGGTGAGGGTGAGTGGGACTAACATAGCATGAGGTGCTGAAGGACTGCATTGAGGGGGGAGCCTGGGGCTGTGATAGTGGGGATAGGGCTGTGGGTCGGGAGTAAGGGGCACTGGCAAAGCTTGGGAGGGGGCCTTTTGCTGACAGCCCCCACCCACTCTCTGAGCACCCCATTCAGCAGGACTCAGGAACTGGAGCAATAACTTTTTCCCCAATCTTTGAAGCTAAAGCCTCTTAATAGTCCCTTCAAAGTGGCAGTCACGTGGCGATTAATCCTTGAAGGGCCCTGCCCTTGGTAGCATTCAGTATAATTACCTGCTAATTGGCAGTATCATGTCATCAGTGCTGGCGCGCGGTGTAAGCGCTCCGCCAGGACGTGCCCTGTGCGCTAACGCAGCCTGTCTCGGAGCACGCGCCGCCTGGCCACCTTGTGCCGCTGCCTCCTGCAGACACGCGCCGTGCTCCGCGGGCTGGGCCCTTGGGACATGGCTGGCCCTTGCTGGGCGCGTCCTTGGCTCTCTCTGTCCCGCCCTCCCTGGGAGCTGAACTCTGCTGCAGCACGTTAGCGGGAGTCTCCTGCTCCCCTTTGGCAGGTGGCACAATGGCCCCTGCCACGCCCACCCTGACGTGCATCTGCCACGTCCCCGGTGCTGCCAGGCCTGAGGGAGCTGCGCTGGGCAGCGAGGGGGGCTGCCTGCTCACTCTGGCCGGGGGGCGAAGGGGGCGGGAGCTCCCCGCGACATGGCCGTCCTGCCTTCTCTGAGCCAGGAGCTCCCAGCGCCAGCCTTAGCTCCGTTAGCAGAGCTCTTCTCCTCCTGCAGTTGGAGTTCAATGTTCCCGACAGGTGTTACCACCCTCACCGGCGGTCAGTCACTGCCCCACACTGGGGACCTGAGAGCCACACGCGCCCCGCTTTGTCCCCATTCCCGCCCTGATCAGGGCAGCTCACTCCCCACCAGCTCCGAACAACCCAACCCAGGTGTGACCAAGGGGCAGGGGAGAGTTAGCTGAAGACAAGGCCTGAGGCCTGGCGAGGGCCCATCTCACCCCAGGCAGACAGTATAATGTGGCTGTGACCCCCCTTAGCACATGAGGAATGCCCTTCCCATTGGGAAAATCTCCACTCCCCAAAGCAATCTCCCTGCTTGTCTGGAAAGAGTAAACAATTCAGCCACCGTTTACGTAGGCCCTACAATAAGTCTACTGTTGCGTAGTCTCCGGGCGGCACTGGTGTCACCAGTGACCGCATGGCTGAGCTGTGATGTTTTCTGTAACGGGGGAGGGGGCGTTCTGGGAGCTCTGTCCCCCTACCCCCCAACCCCTGCTGGGTAAGGCAGGGCAGGGCATGTGTGGGAGCCGTCCCCGGGAGATGGGATCACACGCCAGCTCTTGGGGCACAAGCGGTGGTGGGGAGGAGAGGCAGGGAGAGCGAATTCGCCAGGGAGCCATGTTCAATGGCTCATTAGGACTGATGAAAGCCTTTTCTCATTTAGTCTAAATACTTTAAATGGCTTCACACACAGGTTATTTGCATAGCTTAGGAGATAATGTGCAGGGAGGGCCACTAATGAGGCTGCGGCGCTGGCAGGAGGGGAGCGCGCCTGCCATGGAGCCGTGTGGGTTGCCCTGCCCACCCTACCCCGTGCGGCTGGCCCGGGAGGCCCGGAGCGGCACTCTGCCAGCTCCTGCCACGTCTGCTGCTTGCCTAATGTCCCAGCTCCTGGAGTCAGGTGACTGGGGGGAAATCTCGGTTGGCATTTCGGAAAAGAGTGCATTCCCAGCCCTCGTGCTGGGGGAGAGCTGCTGGGAACAGGCCCTGAGGCACTGACCCAGGAGCAAAGAACCAGATGTGGTTAGAGTTAAAATCTCCTGACATCAGGGCCCAGTTCAGGATCTGGGCAGGTGGGGGGCGGAGGGCGGATGAGCCCATCAAGAGACCCAGTTGCCGGAATAAGCTATTTGAAGACACGGGTTTAGTTTGGGGAGGGCAGGGGGCATTGCCCCCACAAACTGTTGCTTCCCATCCATTAGCAAGTGTTGTATTGCTGGGCATGACTCTCCGGAGCAGCCACGTGCAGGATAAGGGCCCCAATACCGTCCGGAAGCGCCATCTCCCCAGAGCCTCGGCAGCGCCCATCAGCTGCGTGGCCGGGCTGCCGAACCGGCTGCTGATTGCACAGTCAGTGACGTTCCAGCCCCGGCTCTGTTTACCCAGAAACACACGTCCCCCGATAAAGTCATCAGCTTTATTGAAAGCGATTGGCGCCTCCTCTTAGATACCGTTCCGCCTCGCGGCTCCCGCTCCTCTCCCGGCTGCCCGCCCCTCCTCGCAGGAAATGGGGAGGGGGCCTTCACAGCGCCCCTGTCTTGCCTGGGTGGGGAGGGGGCTGGCTGGCAGCTGGGTTTGTCTCAGTCATGGGGGGGTCAGCTCCAATCCCATCCCTGGCTTGGGACGGTAAGGCCTGGAGCCTGTCTGGATAGGAGGAGCGGGGTGGGCGCAGTTCTAGGGCAGTTACACAGCTGCCTGTTGCTAGTGTCCTGTCCCCTCCATTCTCCAGGCCCTGGCTCAGGACCCCAGCCCCATGGAGGGCGCCCAGCCTGGCTGCCCGATGGAGCTGCTTGCTGTGTCTCTCAGTGCCAGGGCCAAGTGCGATAGTTTGGGTCTGCAGGATACCGGTGCCAGGGCTAAGGGCTGTGCCCCCTTGGCACCATTGCAATGTGTGGGGCACTGGCATGGGCCCAGCTCAGCACAGCTCCTAGCAGCTTCCCGTCAGTGACCAGGCTGGGCAGGGCACACGGCCAGCTGCTGAGACTGGCCTGGGGAGCGCTTGGGAGCCTTACTCGGGGCCTGCTGCCCAGGAAAGGGGCGTGCTGTCTCTCAGAGAAGCTGGGGCCTTTGGTGTTCCCAGCAGGGCTTCAGTTCCCCTCCCCTGGGGCCCTGGGCACAGTGTGGAGGCCAGTGGCTCAGTTTGTTCAGCGGCCCAGGGCGTGTGGTGTAAAAGCCGTGACTGCCAGCAGGAGCAGGGCAGTGCAGGGCCTTTTGGGGGCAGCTCTGCAGACCCCCCCACACCTCTGGGAAGGGGAGTACTGCTCTGAGGGCGCTGTGCTGGGGGGGACCTGTCCCCCTGCACACATGGCGTCTGTCCCCGCCACAAGCTTGGCAGAGGCTTGTGGCTGTCAGCAGGTGTGGAGGGAATTGGCAGCTGGTCTGAGCACCACCCATCCTGGGGGTGTCCTGCTGGCTGGCTGGGGGTGTTCTGAGCACTTGGGTGCCCCCGGAGCACCAGCCGCCACACCGTGACTTGCCACGATTGGTCCCCTTGGGGGTGGGGGGTGCGATGCCAAGGTTCATAGACCCAGGCCTCTGGCAGCCCAGCTCCCCGCCTCTCCTTGGCCCCTTCCCCCTTGGCCGCCCGTGTTCTCAGCCGCCTCTCTCCTCCTTCCAGACTTTGCCTCGGAGGAGCCGAACGTGGTGGGCCGGAAGGCAGCGGGGAGCTCTGAGGCTGAGGGGGACCAGACGGTGCCCCCCACTCCGGACGAGCTGGAGGGCGAGGTCCGCTTTGTCACCACAGCCCCCACGCTGACACTGCTCAACCATCACCCCCTGCTGGAGGAGTTCCTGCACGAGGCCCTGGCGAAGAAGGACTATCTGAGGCAGGTGCCCTTCCTCACGTGGGGCCTGGGGGGGCCAGGCCCGGTCATGCCTGACGTGCCAGGGCGGATCACCGAGACCCCCAGAGCCAACCTGCCAAACCAAGATGACCTCCCGGTGTTTTCTGACCTGACCACATCCCTCACGGTGCCAGCCACAGCCCCCGTGACCATGACCAGCACCACAGCCCTGGTGGGAGAGAAGGCCGAGGCCAGAGACGCAGAGAGGACCCCAGAAATGGTCAAGCCAGCGTTCACCGCCGAGCTGCTGACCACGGCTGCAGGCCACATGGCGCCATGGGCAGAGCCCCGGACAGCCAGCCCAGAGAGCAACTCCGCTTCTGTCCCCACGGAGCCTCCCATTACCCCCGCGCCTGCCATCTCCCAGGCCGCCCTGCCCAACCTGGGTCAAGCCACCGCCACCATGGTGACCAGCAACACCCCGACCGCCATCACCCCCACAGCCCGATTTGTCTCACCGCGGGCACCCAGCCCGGCACTGCCAAGGGCCAAGGAGCCCAGGACGGAGGCTGCCACCACAGCCACGGTTTCTGGGGACGACGAGGAAACCACCACAACCACCATCATCACCACGACCACCATCACCACGGTGCAGGTGCCAGGTGAGGGCACTCCCACCCCAGCAGGGGCCAGGGGCACCAGGCCGGGCTGCCTGCTAAAGAGGGGGTGGGGGTGGGGGCACGGTCTTCGGAGAGAGCTGGACCCGCTTTTGGGGTGGCAGTGGGCCGTCGCGCAGGGCAGTCACGACACGTTGGTGACACAAGGGAAGGCGAGGAGGAGTTGGGCACAGCTCTGACTGGCTGCATCGCTCCACGCCCAGTGCGTGGCAGGCATGCAGCCAGCGTGTCACCGCATGGCGGGGAGATGGTCCCGGGCTGCAGGAGACACAGCTGCCTCGGCTGGGAGCCGGCTCCCACTGGGACTGGGCTGGTGAGCACCCTGATGGGACAGCTGCTGTCCAGGTATGGAACGGCTGTAAGGACCGTCCCGCCATGCCGACATCAGCTGCTTTGACCTCTCCGCTAGCAGCACTCAGCCCCCAGGTTCCCAGGGTGCACGGCCCAGCAGGAGGGGGCGTCAGTTGCTGTGGCGTGCGGCCCCTCCTGTGGTGGCGGGCTGTGGCCGTGGCCCCACCGGGAAGGGTGCGGTGGGAGCTGTACTGGAGACGAGACCTGTGCCCGGTCTACACTAGCGCTCCCGCCTTTGCACCCCTGCTGGAGCTGCGCCCAGTATAGACGCGCCCTAGAGGGAGGCTGGTTTAGCCCAGGGCTTCTGGCCCAGCGCCACAGTTGCGTGTGAAATGGGGCGTGATGGGGGCTTGGCCTGGGCAAACTCGTATCTAAGGCGATGGGGCTGGTGGGAGGGAGGGCACAGGCTGCTTCTGGCCCTTGGTGGGTACCGGGGATGAGGCTAACCAGGGGTTCCACTTCCCTGGCTGGGGGCGAGACCATGAGCCACCCTGTCATCAGCACCAGGTGTCCCGGAGCCTGGGCGAGTGAGAGGAGGGTGAGGATGTTGGACTCTGTTTGGGGAAGAGGGTGGAATGGGCCGGCGGAGCAGGGAGCAGGCGTGAGGCCTGTCTGATCCCATGGTTTCCTCTTGCCCCCAGCTCCGTGCAACTGGAACCTCACGGGCCCCGAGGGCTCCCTGGAGTCTCCGGAGCCGGTCAGTTCACCCTACGACAGCCTGGACTGCACCTACACCATCTCCGGGTACCCTGGCTACGGCGTGGAGATCAAGGTCGGTACCGGGGGCTCCTGAATGCCGCATTGCCAGCTGGGGGGGGGGACCCTGCAGGCCCCAAGGCCCTGAGTGGGAAACACACCTGTGCTCGAGGCCGTACAGCGCGGAGGACGGGCGGTGTGGGTCTCTCACGGTGCGAATGGAATCCTAGCGAAGTGCCTCAAACCGCCAAAACACCTGGCTCCCCCCCTTGCCTTTAGCCCCTAACCCTGCATCTCTCCTCCCCCACAACAGGTGGCGCTGGTGGTACCAGAGGGCACTCAATATGCAAATCCCTCTGCGCAAAGCATGCTGGGCCTCCCCCTCACGACCTGGCAGGGGGCATCTCCAGCTGTGGGACAGGGAGTTGGGCCGCGGTGCCAGGTTGGAGGGGCAGGGCAGGCCCTGCCATGGCTGCAGGAGTGAGTAGCATGGGCACCATTGCAGGAACCAGGGTCACCCACGGCTGTGTGGGTAGGGAGGATTTTCACTCTGGGGGTTGGGGCAATTGTTCCTTTTGGAACTCGTGCCTGGGCACCGGTGCAGCTGAGCCCGGTGGTGCCAGGCAGGCAGGTGAGGTGCTGGGCAATCCCTGGGCAGGTGTTTCGTGTTTCATAGCTGGGCGGTTGCACAGCCATGGTGCTGTGGATTGGAGACAGCAGCAAAGGCCAGCCCTGCTCTGATGGGGTCTGTGGCGGGCACATGACCCAGCACTCCAGGACTTTCCCTCTTGGCTCTGCAGAACTGCCTGGGAGGGAAATGCTGGCTGGCGAGCTGGAAGGGACCCCCAGGGGGAATAGCAGGGGACCCGGGGCACAATTCAGGAGCCCGTCCAGCAGGAGGTGGCTGCAGGGGGGCTGGAATTGCCGCTGCGGAGCAAACCCAGCCCTCAACCGAGGGGCATGCGAATGCAGCGCTGCTCTCGTGAAAGGGTAACAGAATGTCAGATCAATGCACGTGGTATTTGGCGACATTTGAACAATGCGCTCCAGCCCCCAGCCAGCCCCCTCCTGGGGCCTAATTAGACCTCAGCAACAGCAGAGCTTTCAGACTCCATCTTAATAAATAAATAACCCGCCGCCGCCACCTGCCACACAGGCCCCGTCCGTCGAGCCAGGGTGGGTGACGCGCCGTCTGCCCACGCAGAGAGGGCAGGGCGGCGGCACCGGGAGGAGAACCAGGCAGGCTCTGCTTGCCCGGGGCTGGGCATTGTGGGCCTGTGTCATGCTCCAGCTCTACGCCAGGCTCTGGTTTCACATCCCCCAGACCCAGGCTGGGTTGGCCCACAATCACCCGGCATCCTGAGGGGCTGGGGGGAGATCAGCCTGCGGGCCGGCCCTGGCACAGTGGGAGGGGGTGGCCCGTTATGGCAGGGTGAGGCCAGCGCTGCACTGGGGCTGGCTATGGGGCGGGGAAGCTGATCGCCATGGAGACAGGCGAGGAGTTTCCCCCGTACCCGTCATTCTCCATCCCGCGGCAGTTGAACAGCACGGCGAGGAGTTCAGCACGGTGCCGGCCCACACGCGGCGTCCCACCCCCCGCCGCCCGACAGGTACTTCGCGGTAATTAGCGGCGTGGGGCGAGAACGTGTGTGCCGGCACTGCTCTCCATTACCGTGTAGCGTTGTTAGCGTTGCTTAATTAACGTCGTTAATATCCAATCACCTCCTAATGAGACAAGCCAACAGCTTGGGGTTTCTCAGGATAAGTGATGATGCCGTTGCAGCAGAGGGCTGCCGGGAGCCAGGCCTCGGGGCCTGGAACCTCCCCGCTGGCCCCAGGGAAGTGGGGATGGACGCTGGGGACTAGGGGCTGGTCTTTGCAGTGTGTGTGCCGGGCTGCACGGTCATCCCCCAGCCACAGGGCCTCGGAGCTTTCCGTGGCCACTGAACGGGCTGAAACGCCATCCCTACTCCCCGGCCAGCGCCCCACCCCCAGGCCACCAGTGGGAGAGTCCCAAACGGGGCGGGGGTTGTTATATTTTATAACGATCCATTAAAATATAAACTGTTGCCAGGCAACCTCAAGGTTAAACCTTCCCAGGATTCCCAGCAAGCCGGGAGCCGGTGAGTGTGTGGATGCTCGCTCACCTCCAGCAGCGAGCGAGTGGCTCAGAGCCGGGCCGGGTGGGACTCAGGACACCTGGGTCCAATTCCTAGTGCTGGGAGACCTTGGCTGAGTCTCTCTGAGCCGTGGTGCCCCCCTGTAAAGCTGGGGTGATCCTGACCCCCAGAGCAGGGGGCATGAGGCTGTGGGGTACGCGGGGGTATGTGGGGACTGCTGTGCTCTCGCAGCTGGCTGGAACAGCTGCAGATGTCAAGGCCCAGGGATGCTGAAACCAGTGAAGGGAGAGTGGGGCAGTTACTTGCCTTCGCCTGGACAAGGCTGGAGGTGTTAGTGCTCCGCCTGTGTCTGCCCCAGAGCTCACCTGAGTGTGGGGAGGATTGGCTGCTGCCAAGGGTCCCGTCCAGGACACTGCCCACCCCAGCTGGAGTTTCTGAATTTGCGGCACAATCACAGGAGAGAACTCCATTTCCTCACCCGTGCCGGGCAATCTGTCTGCATTTCCACGCTGCGTGGCTGAGTGGCAGCCGTGACCGCGCCCGCCGTGAGAATCCATGGCTGGCCTAAGTGAATGCGATGCAGCTTGACTGAGAGCGCTGGGCAGGGCCCGGTCTGTTCTGCCTGGGAGGGCAGCTGCGTTCTCACTCCAGGAGCCCCTTAGCCCTTGGAAGTGGGATGGGGAGGTGCATGGGGACTCGACGGGATTGCGCTGGCCCAGAGGAAGCTACGAAACCCGGGCTGCGGCTCTCTGTGCCCTGTGTGTGCCCTGCCCCCAAAGGTGAGCAGCCAACGAGGCAGCCGCTTGCGGGGAAGGCATCACATGCACGAACCCAGCGTGAGCTTGTGCCCTGGCCAGCACCCAGCTCCCATTGTGTAAACCAGTTTCCAGCTGCCTCTCATCCAGGCCGCCTCTGCACCAAACGGTGCCCAGCGTGATCCATCCGGTGTGAAAACAGTTCAGTTAGAGCAGGGCATAGCCTGTTGTGGGACCACCCCCCCCCCCCGCTCCACACCCATGTGGGTGGGCTGCAGGCTCTAGCACGCAAGCAGCCCCTGGGGCCGGGGGCGAGCTGCTGCGCTTTGACTGCCGTGCTGTGAGTCACGTGGCACTTGCACGGCACCGCTGGGGCTGGCAGGCAAGAGCCCTGCTGCAACCTGCAGACACGCAGCCAAACTCAGCCTGGCCTGCGGCTGCAGCATCCTGCCACGGACCCCTCTGCTGCGTTCCTCTCATCACTGCTGCTGAGTGTGTGTGTGCACATGTGGAGGGGCGTGTGTGTGTGTGCACACGCATGGGGGAATGTGTATGTGTGTGCATGGGGGTTTATAGTGTGCGTGTGCCCATGCCGGGGGGGGTGTCTGTGAGTGTGTGTACATGTGCCCATGCCGGGGGGGTGTCTCTGACTGTGTGCACACGAGGGGAGGGGTGTATGAGTGTGTGCGTGTGCCCATGCCGGGGGGGTGTATGAGTGTGTGCACGCGGGGGAGGGGGCGTGCACACGGGGGAGGGGTGTATGAGTGTGTGCGTGTGCCCGTGGCCGGGGGTGTATGAGTGTGTGCACACAGGGGAGGGGTGTATGAGTGTGTGCATGCGGGGGAGTGGGTGTGCACGCGGGGGAGGGGTGCATGAGTGTGTGCGTGTGCCCGTGCCAGGGGGGTTGTCTCTGAGTGTGCACGCAGGGGAGGGGTGTATGAGTGTGTGCGTGTGCCCGTGCCGGGGGGGTGTCTCTGAGTGTGCACGCGGGGGAGGGGTGTATGAGTGTGTGCGTGTGCCCGTGCTGGGGGGAGTGTCTGTGTGCTGTGTGGATCCTGCTGGAGGCTCCCTGCTCTCCTAGCTCGGTGGCTGGGCCCCTCTCTCCAGCTGGCTGCGTCTCTTCGCCATCTGGAGCTCGTTGTGCTGGCGGTTCTCCATCTCCCGCTGGCCGGGATCCATCGCGCCGTGCCCAGAGCCTCGTCCCCGGTTCCCATTGGCTCTCGCCTGCCGGTTAAGGCCAAGGGAGCGAATGTGCGTGCCCCCCGTGAGCCATGTGCAGGCTGCCACGTGCCGTTCCCAGGGCTCCCTTCCTGTCTGGCATCTGAGCTGCTGCCCGCAGAGCCCCCTGTACCTGGAGCCCCTGCGGGGGCTGCTCTGGGCTCTGCCAGCCTCCGTCCCTGCACGCTGGCTGTGAGCTCCCCGGTACTGCTGGCACGAGCAGACATTGTCCCTGGCAGAGGGGGCTGCAGGCCTCCCTGGGGTTCCAGTCTCTGGTGCTGCTGCCCCAGGCACCAGTGACGGAGATGTGGTTTGCACCCGTGCAGCTCTCCCTGATTTCATTGGACCCGTGCAAATGGTGTCTCCACTAGGGGTTTGCAGCAGGCAGGTACCATCTGTGACCCGTACCTGCCTTGCATGCTGGCAGCATTGCAGCCCCAGTGACTGCCCTCTCCCAGTGCCAGGCCCAGCACAAGCCACGGCGTGATTTGTCTTCAGGTGCTGCATGCTGTGGCTGCGCCAGGTGCAGGACGTTCTGCACCCTGGGGGATGGGCCACGTGGCCCCGGCAGCCCGCGGAAGGGACTGGCACCGCTGTGCCCCCTTCCAGGGGTGACCCGGTCGTCTCCAGAGGGACAAGCCGCCCTCCTGTCCATCCAGCCCCACCCCTGGGCCTGGGGCACCCAGCAGTTACACTTGGGGCCTGTCCCTTCACCCCTCCGTGGGGCCAAGCTGCCTTCTGGCTCAGATCCCGGATCTGCCCCCAGCAGTCGCTAGCCCCGGCGTTCCCAGGACAATGCCCAGGGCCAGTCCCCACAGGCTTCGGGGGGGGGGCAGGTCATGGATGGGCCCATCGTGCTGCCCCCTCCCGTGGCAAGCAGAGGGAGCCCGTGGAGGCGCCTTGGCACCGTGCCCCGTGCGCTGGCAGTGATCACAGCTCCGAAGCTCGCGGCTGGGACAGCCACTAGTTACCATGGCAATGGAGCGAAGGCGTTATTGCCACTGAAAGGCTGCTTGGGGGAGCTGGCGCGGTGCCCCTGGGGGAGCTAATGGCAGCGTGGGCAGCACCAGCCAGGGTCTACTGCAGCGATAGGCCCATGACAGGGCTTAGCCAGGGCTGGGCCTGCTGCGGGTTGGGAGAAACAGCCTGTGGGCAGCACAGCTCAGCGTGGAGCAGGATCCGGTGCGTTAGAGCAGGGGGGACTGGGAGCCTGGACTCCTGGGTTCTGTCCCCAGCTCTGCTACTGAGCCCAGTGGCGGGGCCAGGGCACAGCTGACAGCTCTCGTGTGGGCTCTCCCATGTGCCCGCGGGCCGGTTCCGGCCCGTGCGGGAGCAGCACTCCGAGCGCCGCCTGTCCAAGGCATCTCCCAGCACCAAGATTTACGGGGCTACTAAGCATGTTTGAAAGCTGGTGCTGCCATTGGCCCTGCGCAGACAGGCCTCACCGCTCGCTGACTGACTGTGGGAAAAGGCACAGAGAGACGTGCCCGCCTGGCACTGGGGCTCTGGGGTGCGGCGGGGGGATGTGTCGGGGGAGGAGCTGGGCAGGGCAGGCACATCCCCTTCCAGAAGAGGAAACAGGCCCCATGGGGCTGAGCACCGGCCCCTCTTCGGGGCAGTCTGGGTGACTGCCTGCCCCCCAGGATGCTGGCAGGCCTGGCGCAGGAGAGGGCTGTGGGCTGTCTCTGGAGCCCGGTGGGTGTGGGGCGGCTGGCCAGGTCACTCCCCCCAGGCTCTCAGATTTAGCTGGGGGGGCAAGGCAGTCTCCTGCTGTGCCAGTCGCCAAGACAGGACCGGGGGCAAGTGCCCGTGCTGGCAATAACCTGGTGCGCCACTGACAATGCCCCTTCCTCCCGCAGGTCCTGAACATCAGCCTGTTGGAAGGGGAGACGGTCGCCATGGAGACCTTCGGGGGCGCAGAGCCTGTCGTCCTGGCCAACGAGTCCTTCCTCATGAGGGGCCAGGTGATCCGCAGCCCGACCAATCGGGTCAGCGTGCGGTTCCGGAGCCCCCAGCCCGCCAGCCCTGGCAGCTTCCGCTTCCGCTTCCAAGGTACAGTCCCGGCCTGCTCTCTGCGGTGCCCTGCGGAGCCACGGTCCCTGTGCCATCCTACCCCCCACACGCCAGCCAGACACGGTGCCCTCCTGCAGCCAGCGGGCCTCGTCCCTTGGTGGGGCGCAGCAGGGTCACACAGCTGCCCCCGCACTGGTGGGCAGAGCCCTGCGGGCCAAGAGCTCTGGTGTTGCAGCAGGGCTGGGTGGCGCAATGTGGTGCCCTGTGCCATAGACCCAGTGCCCCACGAGCCAGCCCCACCCCCGGGAGAGGAGTGCTGCCCCACAGCAGTGTGGGGCTGCTCCCAGGAGATGGTGGGCCGGGCAGCCTGGCAGGTTTGGGAAGGGGACTGGCAGCCAGTGTCCGTTGGCTTCATCTCCAGGCCACGTGCTGGACCCAGAGGCCACCTGACTTAGCAATGGGGCCGGGCATGCCCCTGCCCCTAGGGAAGGGGGGCCTGGCAGCTGAGGCTGGGGAGGGGCCCTTTCCCCTCCCATGGAGCCAACCTAGAGTCCCTTTGTAATCTGGCTCATCAGCCCATGGGCGCACTGGGCATGTAACATGGCACCCCTGTGGGCGTGTGTCTGCCCAGAGCTCAGCCTGGCATTGCACCTGGGCCCTTGGCACTTCACCTTGGCTCTTGGCACTTCACCTTGGCTGGGAGCTGCCAGGCAAGCTCTGGCTGAGTGTGGGTCACATACACCCCCCCGTCCCTCCCAGAGCCCCCCTCTTCCTCCCAGGCCACCACGCCACCCCTCTGCCCCCCCAGCCTGGGACACCCAGCAGCGTCTCCCTCCCATAGTTCGGGGAGTTAGGCCAACCCTGGGTCAGAGCTCAGCCATCTCGCCCCTGCGTCCAGTGCATGGCATGGCACCATCCTGCCAAGGGTCTGCGCCCAGGGCGGGCCCTGCCTGCTCCCCTGCAGGTGAACCTGCTTCCCTGGCACAGCTGCAGCCAGCCAGGGCCAATTAGCCTGTTTAAAGCTCTGGAATTGCCGGCGGAGTTAATCTGCGACATCGCCAGGTTAAACGGGCACCAACCAGAGAGACGCGCTAATGGAGAGATAATTGGTGTGAGCAATTACGGGCTCATTTAACATAATTACCGGCAAAGTTAGGCCCCTTGTCGCTGATAGCAGGGCGGAGCCGCTCCTCCCGTACGGCACCATGTGCCACGGGGCCAGCCGAGGGACGTGCCTCCGGGGAGCCTCCTGTGGGCTCTGCAGAGGCGCTTGTTGGCGGGGGAGCCAGCCACACACCTACGGGCCTGCCTGGAGCTCAGGGACTTTCTCCCCTGCCCCTCCCCTTGGGCCTGGAGCCCAGCAAAGCCTCGGGCAGGCCACTATCCTGCCCTGTGCGCCTGTCTCCTCCCTCGCCCTGCCCCCTCTGCCTGCAATGCCCACATCGAGCCCCCAGAGTGAATCCCCTCACACACCATGTGCAGCCCCCTCGTCCCCAGGCTCAGCATCACTCCCCGCCCACCAGCTGCTCCGTGTCTCAGCCCAGGGGCTGCCAGGTTCGCCCCCACCCAGCTGATGGCAGAGCTGGGCTGTAGAGCCCGAGGGAGTCAGCGCCGAGCCAGCCGATGAGGTGGGAGGCTCCAAGGAGCATGGGCTGAAGGCGGATGGGCTGCATGGTTCATCAGTGCAGACGCTGGGCAGCACGACAGGGGCATGGCCTGGCAGGGGGCAGGAGGGGCGCTGGAGTCCAGACCCCTGGGGTGTGGAGCTTGTTGGATCTGGGGAGCCCATGGCTGGGCTATCAAGGGCTGCGGGTCGGGATTGAGGGGCACTGGCAGAGCTCGGTGGGTTTCAGGGATGGGGGGAGCCCATGGCTGGGCTATCGAGGGCTGTGGGTCAGGATTGAGGGGCACTGGCAGAGCTCATTGGCTTTGGTGGGTCGGGGGAGCCCATGGCTGGGCTATCGGGGGCTGTGGGTTGGGATTGAGGGACACTGGCAGAGCTCGGTGGGTTTCGGGGATGGGGGGAGCCCATGGCTGGGGTATCAAGGGCTGCGGGTCGGGATTGAGGGGCACTGGCAGAGCTCGGTGGGTTTCGGGGATGGGGGGAGCCCATGGCTGGGGTATCAAGGGCTGCGGGTCGGGATTGAGGGGCACTGGCAGAGCTTGGTGGCTTTGGGGGATCGGGGGAGCCCATGGCTGGGCTATCGAGGGCTGCGGGTTGGGATTGAGGGGCACTGGCAGAGCTCGGTGGGTTTCAAGGATGGGGGCACCTCCTTTCCCATTTCCCATGGTCCTTTGTCTCCTTAACCTGCCCAAGGTTCCTCAGCAAAGCAATACCCCCAGGGGCACTCGGCTGGGGGGGGTCTCTGTCTGCCCCAGAATCTCCTGTGAGGGGTGGGCTGCCCCCCCGACCTGCCCTCACTCACCCACAGGCCTGGTGCCGCCCTGACGCTATTAATGAGGAAATAACGACAGATTGTGCCGAGCGCGTCCCTCAGCCTGGGTCGCCATGGCAACGTGCAGCAAATTAATGGGAAAAGCCGCACTTCACGCTCCTTTATTTTCATGTCTGATGGGCCCAGCCCCCGCCCCCCCTCCGGATTCAGGGGGATTCTGGGTACAGGTGGGGGCTGGGCATGACTCAGTCACTCCCACCCGCCGGGTTGTGGTACCCCCCAGCCGGATGCCCGGGTACCCCAGGGCCCACCCGCAGGTGCTTATGGCCGCGATGGGCCTGGGGCAGGGACTCTATGGACGGGGGGGCAGGTCACGGCTGCAGAGGGTCCCAGCACCCAATGGGGGGGGGGCAGGAGGAATTGCCTCTTGCTCAGGGGCAGCGTCCTGCTGGGATTTGGCCCTTCCGCCAGCGCACTGAGCGCCTGCTGCGCTCCCCAGCCTGAGGCCGAGGGGGGGCCAGGGCCAGGGCCAGGGTCTGAGCTGTAACCTGGGGTTGTACAGACAGGCCCAGCTCTGGTCTGCTGGGGACTGCTGAGCTGCTCCATGAGTTGAGAGTCACCCTCGATTCCCAGACAGCAGGGTCAGGTCCTTGGCTACTGAGAGCCCTGGGCTGGCTACCACTGGCCATCGCGCCCATCCCTGCTCCCCTCCCCTGCTGGTTCCCCCGTGGGGAGCTCCTAGGGCAGGCGCTGGACTGCTTGTGACCCCCCCCCCAATAGTGTGGTCTCACCCCCCATCACCCACAGACACTGCACAGTCGGCTGCAGCCCCTGAGTGCAGGAGTCTGGGCTCAGGCCTCACTACTGCCGGCTGCCAGGGTGTGCAAAGGGGCACAGGGCCCTGGCAGGGCGTCACGCTCACGTGCAAAGGGGCCCTGGCAGGGCGTCACGCTCACGTGCAAAGGGGCCCTGGCGGAGCATCACGCTCATGTGCAAAGGGGCCTCATGCTCGAGTGCAAAGGGGCCCAGGGTCCTGCCCTTCCTCTGCACTAGAACTAGACTTTGCCCTGCATGGCGCTGGTGCTGGCTTGGTGAAAGAGGTTGGTGCTCTGACTGCTGTGGGTGCTCTGACTGGAGTGCCCCTGGGATCCTTCCCTCTTCCAAATCCCTCCTCCACCCCAGCTGAGGTCAGGCGCGCCTCTTTGTGACATCACAGCTTGTTGCTGCGGAGATGGAGTGATGTCACAAGCAGAGGCTGTGAGCTCATTGGCAGTCAGTGTGTAGCCCTGAGTCGCGGAGGCTGGGAAACAGCGACTGGCCGTAGCAGGAGAGTGCTTAGCAGTGTCCCCTCTGTTACACCGTGGCTGTGCCCGGGTGTGTGGGCAACGTGAGCTGGGTGCTAGAGGGGGAAGGGCGCTGCATCCCCAGCCACATTTGTGTCCCTCCCCCGGGCACCAGCATGTTCCCTCACTGTCAGCTGCCTTCCCACCCGGCTTGTGCAGCGCCCTTCGGCCAGAGTGGAGCTGCAAAGGTCCTGCCAGCCCTGCTCTGGCCCCAGCACCCCCGGCCTGCGCAGACCCAGCGTGACCTGGGCAGATTTCACCTGTGTCCTGCCCACGCCCTGCAGCGCCACCTGCCCCAGGGCGGCAGGGACTCTGGCATGCTAGCAGCCCATCGGCACTCAGTCCGGACCCGTGGCTCCCGGGGTTCCCAAGGCATCAGCGGGGGCAAAAGGCTCATCGCTGCAGGCTCCTGGCGGGGTGGGGAACGCCAGCTCCCCTGGCAGAGGGGCAGCGAGGAGGCTGGCCCCCCACCTGCAGCCTGGCAGAGCCGTGTCCCTGGGCAGGCAGCACCCTCGGGCAGGGCAGGGCCTGGGGGCTGTACCCCTCTGGCCAGCTGCCTGGCCAGACAGAAGGATTTGCTGCCACCTGCTGGCTGGGATCAGGAACAACACCCTGTCCGACCCACCTGTAACTGCGCCCACTGGATGCGGCCCCCAGATGGGGCCGGCTGTTTCCAGAGGCTCTGGGTCTCCATGCAATGCGGGGAGAGGAGAGAAAACAGCTCAGCAGCTGGGACTTCCAGGGGAGAAAGCCTACCTCCTCCCACCCCAGTTCCTGCCCTGTGGCTCTCAGAGGGGCTCTCACACTGTGGGGCAGGATCCCGCTGATCCCCAGCCTGGCATAGGCGCAGGAACTAGGGATGTGGGGGGTGCTGCAGCACCCCCAGGTTTTACGCGAGGCTCCACTTCTGGCTCCCCCACCTGGGGTCCTGGCTGCTGGCCCCACACCCAGGGGCTCCGCTCCTGGTCCCGCCCCCACCTGTGGCCCTGGCCTCGGCCCTCTTACCCCTGCGGGCACCAGGCACCCACCCCTCCAGGTATTGAGCACACAGCCCCACAGGCACCAGGCGCCCGCCCCTACAGTCCCCAGGCATGCCAAGCCAGGGAGCACAGTGCTCCAGCCATTCAGCCTGCCAGGCCCTGCCATTAAATGCCCCTCTCTCTCCCTTCCTCCCTCCCAGCCTATCTGCTGAGCTGCAACTTCCCCTCCCGACCGGCCTACGGCGATGTTTCCGTCACCAGCCTGCACCCTGGGGGCAGCGCCCACTTCTACTGCGCCACGGGGTACCAGCTGCAGGGCCCGCCTGCGCTCACCTGCCTCAACGCCACCCGGCCCTTCTGGAGCAGCCGGGAGCCCGTCTGTGTGGGTGAGTGGGGGGGAGGGGCTGCCCAGTGCTGCCGGATGCCCCCCCTGGCCAGGCACGGT